TCTTAAAACAAATATGTATATGTATGTATATATATATATATATATATGCGTGTGCGTGTGTTTTAAAATGATACCGTAAAAAAACCGTTGACAAATTAAAGCCCGACGATGGGAACAAAATCTGGCGATTTGTCGTGCGAGAGCGAAGATTCTTTAAGATATGCTCCGCGATATGCACCTCGCACACGCTCGGTTGGGGTCAGAGCGGGCGGGCGAGCGGGCGCGTGCGGGTCGATGGAGAAACAGGGGGGAGAGATAGATCAGAGGAACTAGAGAGACCAGAGAGACGGGAGAAGAGGGATATTTGCAATTCCAATCCCATCTTCGACCTCGTCTCACGCGCGCAACCTACAGCCCTCCTCCCACCTGCACGCTTCACCGAGAAAGAGAGACAGAGAGAGAGAGAGAGAGAGAGAGAGAGAGAGGACGTAGACGTTTCTCGCGTGACTTCGTCTGCCGCGGAATGTTCGGACGAACGGACGCGACGTGTATGTCCGCCAGATCGCGATACATCACTGCCTGCCAAGAGCGAAACACACCGCGAATTTTTCGCAAAATTTCTTCTCGCGCCTGAAAAATGAAAAACAAAAAAAAAAAAAAACAGAAGAAAAACAATAGTAGATAGAAAAGTTATGCGGAGGCACCGGCGCTTTTTAATTTTCGCTGCCGAATATCTCGCAGTTCGTGCGTGAGATAATTAAAGCACATTGAACGTTTGCTGTGTCCGTAGCCTGTTTCAATTAATTGCTCCGTGTCGATAAAAATGATTCAAAAAAGATAAAATAAATACAATTAGCGTGAATGTCAGCTACAATGGTTGAAAAATGAGGCTCTCGTTAATTACTATATACAAATATGTAGTACAATTTAATTTTATAAAATATCATGTACGAAAAATTATATTTAAAAAAGAACGGAGTCTAAAAAATTATTCCATTTTGCAATAATGTTTCATTGAGGTAAAAAATTTGTCAGTCTGAAACTGAAATTACGATTTAAAAGCTTTTCATGTATAATGCATCTAAATAGAGCTAATGGAGCAGATTTTATGTACGATATTCCTTTGGCACTTTTTTGCTTTCTTTCTCTCTCTCTTTGTCTCCCTCTCGGAAAATACATTGGTTTAGAAATACATTTATTTTATCGGTTAAACAGTATTGCAGATTGCGAGACGTGCGTTATCCACAAACGACGCATGGAGCCGTATAAGAACGCTGCGTTAACGAGGGACGACAATGCTCGACTTCCGCAAGCGTGCCCGAGAAGTGTACGATATCATCGTTAGCAGAAATCTGATTCGCGATGTGTCGACGGAATTCACAGGAAGGTGAAATTATCTGTTTTTATTATGTTTAGACGTGATACACTTGTCACAAAAAAACAAACTCTTTGCACGCACGTATTAGCTCATTTTTTTTGTGCAATACAAGACGTAATTATTTTCATAATTGTATCGCACAATTTTTATTAAATATAACGCGTAACTGAAAAAATAATATTATAATAAAAAAATTAAGGATAAAGTGCTTATTTCCTGTTTTGCATTATCGCACAGTTTCTCTCTCTTTCTCTCTCTTGTGCGTGCAATGTTGTAATTGTTTCCAATTTCACAAAAAATTAAATATTATAGATTATTTAATATGTTTTCATTTTCGCGCGGTTTCAAAGTGATTTTATGATCCACCCCGTCCGTTCAGTTTTTTTTCTTCATTAAATTCGGTTGCAATGTCTTGTTAACGATAAAACTTTGTCGATAAATACAAGTGTGCGCGAGAAAAGCTGCTATAAATTCTTCCTGTTTTTCGCACGCGTATTGCCAAGCATATCTCCCGAGCATATTTCATTTCCTTCTTCGTCTACACGCACCTGGAACTCCACCTTCCTTCTGTATTTTCACCACATCCGCCATAGAGGAGAAGTAAATTAAAATAGAAATTTGCAATTTCCTGCGCTTTTAAGAGGCCAATTCTGTTGAACTCTCTCGATAATCTCATTCACAAGTGTTTTTAATGGGAAAATAAATTCAATATAAATTTTCAGCATCAATAAATAAAAGCGAAGAGCGGCGGAATATAAAACAGCGGTTGTTTCGCGAAACGGGGAAGGGGAAGCGGGGGGTGGGATTGCTCTGAAAATGTGTTTATTCTTTCATAAATTTGCTCGTTGTTGTGTGTGATTCAAAACACACGAGAATTTTTAACTAATGGAATTAAATTGCGCCCGTTTTAAATTCTCTAAATAGCTGGCAATTTGTTTTTGTTAGCGAGATTCCCGCATATTTTTCTGAGAGACAACATTACGTTCGAAAACTTCATTCGATCAGATTAGAAGTGTGTTCGCAAATATATATCGAATTTCCGATGCGCGGACTTCTTAATGGAATTACGCGCAACTCGTACACGAGACACAGAGTAATAATATCGACGACCGCGAAGTTGATTAGTAACAGATAAAAGAAATCAGAGCGAGATAAAAAAAAAAAAAAAAAAAAAAACGAGCGATGTGACAGCGCGCGATCACAGTACGGGCATTTATATAATCATCGCGTACGTATCTCTCGTGTGAAGAGTCTCGTATGAGTACCGGAGACTGTTTCACGATTGACAGATCACCGAGTTTTTTTTTTTTTTCATAAGCGATTGAATGATGTAATGTAAAAAGACAGCTTATCGCGCGAGCGTATTTCTTATCTGCCAAATGCGAGTTAAATTCGTGGACGAATATCGCTTGTTGAAATTAGAGAGTGGCCGATAAACGACGCGGCGGGCGAACCTCAATTAAGACCGTTAATTCCAATCTCGGGAGTTTCATTACAAAAGCGCGCACACCCGGGTTACACACAAAGATCGAGAGGTATGCGCGTGCTGAATCTCGGCGATCCGGTGGACGGCCGAGATACTTTAACGCTGTGTAATTTCAGATACCAATCGCACGTTTTCGCGTCGTCCGATCGTGCGATCCCCAACAACGCTCGGAGTATACGCGTTATCGCACACGTGCCTCGCTTCATTATCGGTCGACGCTGTTCGAACGCTGTTAAATCACGACGCGTAACGTCCACGATATCTTTTCCGCCGTTTTATATTATATATATATATATATATATATATATATATATATATGTATGTATTTATCGTGTATATGGATTTCGAACGCAGCAAAGAGAAACGCCGGCTGTGTGTGTGCGTGCGCAAGCGCGCACGTGTGATCAAAATTGTCACACGGAACCCAATGCGCCGACTGTCAGGCCATCTTGACGAGGGACAAACCCGGGATCAAAAATTTATATTCTAATTCCATAATACCGCGGTATTAAAGCGTAATGCTCTCGCACAACGGTGACACTCACACACCGATACGATATTAAATTATTATAGCAACACTCGCGGTAATTTAAAGCAATTTCCGCGTCGCACTCGTGTTCCGAGTAACTTTTCCTCGGGATCGAGAAGTTGGAGAACACATTCACAGCGGTCTCTCCCTTCTCTCTCCTCATTAAGAGAAATATCACCTTTTCCAAAAAATAAAAATCGAAATGTGATATTCAGTACAAATTATACAATATTATTTTAATTGTATAATTTGTTTGTTGTCGAGATACTCATCTTCAGATATTTATCTTCTTTGTTTCGATTTTATTTTAATGACATTTTAGATAGGGAGTGTGTTACTCACTTAAACAGATCGTACATAAATAAAACAATTAATAAACAAACACCAACACGTGTAGAGTTATCTAAATCACATCTCTTGATGTTTTTTCAAAAACTATTTAGGTCGTAAACCCGCAGTATTTGTGGTTTCTTTTCCGCAGTAATAAGGGTGGAAACATGTTTTGCTCTAACAAGATGGATTTCAGTTTCTTTCGTAACGAGAAGAACTACTGTATCCGCGCGATACAGTAACAATATTACGCGAAATGAAAATTATATACGCTGGCTCGCGAGCTCGTGCAACACGGGCACAAGTTGTATCGTTTTCGCGATTTTGTGAAATTCAAGGCGCGGCCGGGACGGATTCGATCGCGCCTTTCGATACGTTCAATTGAAGCGGATCTCGCGCGCGCGGAAGAGGCGCGCAACAGAAATGTATATATACGACGTGTATGTATATCGCAACGCGAAGCGTCGCCGGCCCGTCAATGAGGTGACCAGCTGTGCCCATCCTGTGATGCATCGCATCGACAATTATTGTCACGGTTACGCCGTGACTGTCCGTACGCTCGTACGTCCGCGGTTCGAGCACTTTTTACAAGCCCCACTCTGCCATTCGTATAAACACCACCGCTTGCCGCGCACTTTGCCGCTTTTAGTCGCTAGTTAACCGCGCTCGCGCCGACCGACTCTCTTAAATATTGTTCCGCCCGATCAAATGGGGGGAAAAAAGCTCGTCATAAAATATTATATTTTACACTAAGTAAAACACTATAATAAACGGATTTAAAAAAAAAATATATATATATATATACATATATAATTACTAAGTGTGTGAAAAAAAAAAAACATTAACGCGAGCGAAATGAACGTCAACAGCCGCGTCGAATCGTCAAAGCGAGATCGCGAGAGTCACGAATTGCTTTTTCACGTCGAGTCGAGTGAGCGCGAGATAAAATCCAACGAACGTGATCGATGGTTTCTTGGTCGTGAATAATTTTTGTTTCTCAAGAGCAGAAGTTATACGATGAAACGTTAGTGCTTGTTGTCGAATGGAATGGAGTATTAACTAGCGGAAAAGTTTGCTCTCTCGATGCCGACCCTGAGAGATCTGCTAACTGAAACACTGAGCTGCGCTAACGAGGTGGACAAGCTCGTTTCGATTCGGACGTAATACAAATCCCGAGGATCATACATCCGCGTGGAAGGAACAATCCGGTAAAAGCGGGCCAAGGTGTTAAAGACGTCAATCGTCGCAACGCATTAGCGTCGCGTTGTGTCGTCGTCGTCGTCGTCGTCGTGGTCGTGGTCGTGGTCGTGGTCGTGGTCGTGGTCGTCGTCGTCCGTCGATCGCGCGTCGTTCTCGTCCCCGTCTCTCGCGCGTCGTCGTCTCTCGTCACGAGACCGCTCACAATCGCCGCAAACGCGGCGAACTCGTGATCCACGATTCGCGCAGTTTCCGTTTCACGGCGATCGTGTTCGGCACGGATTTCCTCTGGATCGCGATCAATAGCGCGCGAGCGAGAATAACGATAGTCGACAGGTGTGTGCGCGCGCGCGTCCGTTGCACCGCAATCAACGGGTCGGTTTTCCGGAGAGAGAAGAGGAATAGCCCCGCACATTTTATCCGCGCTCAGTTCTTCGTGGATAGATGATCCACGTTTTTCGCGCGCGCAAAGCGATTCTCTCAAGTGAGAAAAGAGAGTAAAACTTGTGTGTGGAAATCCACGCGCTCGCAAATATATATATCGCGCTGCAAAGTGACGCGGAAAATGGAGATCGATATGAGCGGCAGAACGAGCAGCAGCAAACCCAGCGAGGAGCTGGCGAAGAGACGAGTGTCAATTAGCGATCAGGTCGTGGGACACGACAATCCCGCCTTCGAGCATCACCGACGCATCAGCGCGAGTTCTGAACACAATTCCGATCAGGGCAGACGTAAGTCGATTCTGCATCACTGCGGAAGCGTGGAGAACATTCCGCAGTTCAAGTTCGATCTGGAGAACGGTCGGATCAACAACGGTAATAGAAAAAAATCGGCGTACAGCCTGTCCAGTTCAATCAGAGACAAGATCGAGTATTCCGAGGAGCTCGAGAGGTGAGACACTCGATTATCGCGAGGAGGGGTTGGAGGGAACGATGGTAAGCTGCGCGCCGCGCAAGTTTGCCGATACTTCTCCAACTCATAATCGCGCGAGCGATCATTTTTCTAGATCTGGCACCGACCTAGATCGACTATCTCTCGTAAACTTTTCCTGTCGTATTAGAATGATGATGCGAACTTATCGGTAATCCTGTAAGACAAACAATACAAACAAGTCAAGTGTAATTCAATAGATTGTGAAAAATTGCGTGTTTACTCGCATGCGAACCTGGTGATAATGAGTCACGTCGTTTGGTGAAATGAGAACGAAATCAACAATTTTGTAACATACGTTAAACGACGATAATTATATAGCGACTGATCTCTTTGTCACACTGTCGCTAATATCGCGCGGTTTTTGAAATCGATTTGAAAGATAATGCGCGAGGCTGACATGTAAATAAAACAAGTTGTATTTTGTCACTTATCACACTTGTGTCAAAAGAAAAAAAAAACGCAATGAAATATATCTTTGATCGCGAAGTCGTATTTCGTACAAATATTTTTCTCGACGAACATTCTCTTTTCCGACTCTTATTCTGGCGTAACGCTTTAGTTCCGCAATTCAAAATTGAGAAAAAATCTATATCTAGTGTTGATTGAAAAATTAAATGTTCGATATTTTGGGCCAATTGTGAGTCAGAATTGTTTGTATTAATCGAAGAAGTAAATGACTTACTTATATATCGTTTTCGTGTGATAGAGTTTATCTACACAAGAATATAAGATACTGTTTTATCTATACAAAAATTTAAAATACACTATTTATCTACACGAACGTAAATTACCTATCATTAAAGGTGATAAACCGAGCTCAATTGTATTTAAATCATCAATTGTTGCCAACATTCGGTTCTAACTAACGTCGACTTTCTTCGAATTCATTCAAAATTGCAAAGTGTCAACGATAAATCTTGATACATGGATTAAATAATCCTTAAAGAATAGTCGCACAAGTTAGAAATTTAAATAGACAATACGTGCAACACACACAAAAATAAATCAAATTTATTTCACACCGTCGATTTGTGTGTTGTTCCAAATTCGCAATTAACAGAGTTGAAAGTAGAAAAAAACAACGTATTCTCTTCTAATGTCGCGTTTCTTGCTGCTCAATTTGCCGGTAGCGAAAAAGAGTAATTAAAAAACCCGATTGTTTCGTTTCCAGAATTACACCGTAATAGCAGCGAGATAGAATTAACAAAAGTTTTCCCCTCGAAATAGGCTGATAAATTATTGTTGATTACCTCGTGAATTATTAATTCTTCGTAACTTACGAAATGAACGTAATATAAATTATGGTATACATATATATATATATATGCCGTCAATTTTACAACGAACTCGTTAACCTAAAATTATTATTGCACGCGAATATAATGCAATCTAATAAACCAACGCGGGTAAAGCCGGCCGCAAAATTAATCGTCGTGTGCGCGATGAAGCATATAGATCACAAATAGATATCGTAAACGCATTAATAAAATCATTGGTGTTGTATTAAAAACTCCTCGACTATATATTATCTCAAATGTAGTTCGTCATGCGCGAATTAATGCCGAAACTAAGCCAATGGATTATATTGTAATTACCTCACACTTTAGGCGTTTATCCGAGCAGATTTGTCCTGAACAAATAACACATCAATATGCGAAATAGATACCCATACGGAAACAGTATTCAATGTTACAACGTGTGAGGAGAGGAGGAATAATTAATGTATTTCGATAAGTATTATAAATAATAATTTTAACTTGCTTCTCAATAATTAATCAAATTAACAAAGATATGTTTTACACTTGCTATAATATTAAATGATTTTTTTAATTAATATTAAATAAGTTCTTGAGTTTAAAAAAAAAATAATTTTTAATAAATTATTTATTAATAACCCCGTCAAGTACGTTTGATAATATATATATATACACAAGCTTATTAAAGTTCAATTAAGCGTGACACAAAAATAAATGTAGATATCAAATTTTCTTTTCACAAATCGATTTCTTCGAAAATTAAACCTCGCACGAAATTAAATCTGTCAAGCACAATTGCACGTAGCGCAACTATCATTGTGATAACACATAATTGCACAAGCTTTTTAATCTTTTCCTATTTGCACTCTTATTCTTTTTATCTTTGTTATCATAAATAACTTATACATTTTTCTGTGTAAATACATATCTCTATGACATTCTTGAAGATTTACTTCTTCTCAGATAATCTTACGTAAAAATAATTTGTTTCAACTGACACTAAAAGATACACTTTGTTCATTTATCTATCGCGCACACAATAAATCTTAAAAAAAAAAGAATTAAATATACATAAAAAAAATATTATGTCACATTCTTTGTATCATAAGAAATGTGCAAGTAAGGAAGAAATCGACGTCATTCTGATGTCTTTTAATTCATTTGTGTCTCCACTTAGATCGTGGTTGTATCTATTTTGCGCAAGATGTCACGGTCGAGACGACACACCGTCATGGGAGCCGCCGGGATGGAGAAGAGCGTGTCCACAGCCGTTCTGTCCCACGTACAGAAAATTCGCTCGGGTCCTGTGCCTCTTTCTTCTGGGTTTGCTGCTCTGGGGTGTCGTCTACTCGGTAATCGGCAACGACGCCGCACCCGGTGGCCCGCTGTTCGGATTAGCCGCCTTGTGCATCGCCGCACATTTTGGGGGTTGGCTATTCTCTTTGACCACTCTTCCGGCCTTGATCGGTATGCTGATCACCGGACTGATACTGCAAAACGTCGGACTCGTCAAAATCGAGGGCGATTACACCGTGGTGATCGCCAATCTACGGTAAATAGATTTTCTTTCGGAATACTTTTAGGAAAAATTTTGATTCACAAAAATCTTGAAATTTTATTTTTAAGTTTTTTTAATTTAAAAATAAACTGCTTCTTTATCGTGCAAAAAATTTATAGAAACCTTAATTATTATTGATGAGAGTCAAACCTCGATACAAAATCAATAATGTAATTTTCATAATCTACGTTCCGAAGCTAAAAATGATAAAAGAAATTTCACTCGTACATAAAAATGTGTATAAAAAAAAACTTGAAAAAGCAAAACAGCGATCACGTAACTCGATTTCCAATGCGTACGAAATGTAATAAAATGTAATAAGTTGAGGTTTCTTTTTTGAGATAATTTAGCACAACACAGGCGCGCGCTACGCGCACGCTATTATTATTTTTATTTTAATTATTGTGTCAGTGAACACAATCTGTCACCGCTATGACAGCTAGTATGTACGTTTTCCAAACCATATAATACACATTAGAGAGATGTCATAAATAACGCATAAAAATCAAAATAAAAAAATAATGAGAGAAAAGTGGAAAAACAACACGTGACTAAAGTACATATGACAGAGAAAAGAGTAAAAAAAAGAATATTATATATATTATATATAATATTCTATATCTATATATAATACACTCACACACACATATATATATACCGTAATCACGCGACCAAAGTCAGTGACCCCGCCAAGGCCGCGCGGCCGGGGTCAGCGACCCCGTCAAGGCCGCGCGGCCGGGGTCAGTGACTCTGCCGCGGTCACGCGACCGAGGTCAGTGATCTTACTGTAGTATGTATATAATATATATAATACAAGCTAGAGTATACGTTTTTAAAGACACGTGACTAAAGTAAAGTCACGTAACTGTAGGCACGTGTTGGTTTTTCTTTCCTATCTCCTTTAAGTTTCGAGTTTTATTTTTATACGTTATTTTTAACATTTCTTATATGTGTAATATATAGTTTGTAAGACGGTCATGCTTTGTTCCGTTTCTTTGTGTGTTGGCGAGTACTGTGACATTTTAATCCGGACTTTTTAATCTTACAGTTAAAAAGAAGTGTTCTATTTATGTATTTAGTTTTTATTTTTATTCTTTATTTATTTATTACGTCTCTCAGAGTTTTATTATTTGACTTTCTATTTTATATTTCTGACTTTTGTTTTTTACAGTTTGACGTTTTTATTTTATATATCCACATTTCGACTCTATTTTTTGACTCAAAGTTATCGTTTTTATTGACTAATTTTATAAAATTTGCGTATAAAGGGCACTACCGTGCCTCTTGATTTGTACGACATGAATCGAGAAATACATCCGAAAAACTTCCAATCAGCGTCGAGATAAAAGTGGCGACAATCAATATCAATAGAATCAATTGTGAGTATTTACACACGCTTTTTCTAATAGGATAAAAACAACAACAGTTAAAAACAATAAAAATCTGAAAAGTTACGAACATTCTTTCTCACATTTTTTCAAGAAAAAAAAACAAATAGACAAAGTTAATGTGTAATCGTTTTAGCTGTGTTGCTGTGAATCGCACAGATTTCGTTTAATGAACAGAGAAAATTGTTGTCTCTGACTCTCTTGAGGAATCGATTTCTTACGTAAACTCGAGGCTAAATCAAATCGTTCTTCTTTTTTTTTTTTTTTTCATGACACGAGCAAACCTTATTTCCACCAATGTGTCATTATCGGAAAGCATTGATAATGTCAGCAACGACGGGCAAATCGAAAGTCTTGCGAGGTAACAATCAGCTAGTTGCGATCGCGCACAAGGTGGCTGTTTTTTAAGGTCGAGGTCTAACGACGATGAATCGTCGCGAACACGCACGACGACGGTTCTATGCGTGGCATAACAAGTGCGGTAATCAAATTCAAGTTGCATCCTCCTGTACTAATGAATGTCGCTGACAAAAGAATCAGAGGAGATTTGTTGAGAGACAAAATTCACTTTCTATCACACGTATCACGAGATACGAATACACGCGTAATGTCACGAAGTTTTTTTCAAGGTTTATGTTTAAATGAAAAAAAAAAAAGACAACAAACAAACTCTGCCGTATTTTTTATTTACGTGGATTGTGCGTAATTCTTATGTATACGACGCACGCGTTCTCACAAATCAGAAAAAAATAAAGATAAATATTTGTCAAGTAAGATATATACCCGCGCTCACGTTACGTTCCAGTTTATGTTCACGTACGCTAATAAAAAATTCCAGAGATGTTTAATATTTAAAAAAATGTAAATTTGCTTTCAACTTCTTCGCGCGTGTACTTGACCCAGTTTTTCTGCGCCGATCGACATCATTACGAGAACTCAAGATTGACAAATTCCTCTTCTTCACCAATAATCTTCGGAATGAGTTTTATAAGAGTGTAACCTCTTAATCTGAAGATTCGATGTAATCTTCTCTGCAAAAAAAATTATCCTAATTTGTTTTAATAATGTACAAGGGACAAACTTGTCAAGTTATTTTATTGCATTTTTTATTTTATACTTTGATAAATTTACGTTTTTTTTTTTGGTGGATAAATCGTTTTCAATCATGACAATGTTAAAGATAATGTTTTTTAATAAAATGTGTGTGTGTGTGCGTGTGAGAATTATTATGCTATCATATCCGGGAATGTTGTGTAACATCAAAATGCGACGCTGATCTTTTTCCATTTTAAAACAGATTCCCCACAATCGCGCCTTCACCCGATTTCATTTCCCCCTCGATTGCTCAAATTCGTCTTATGACCCGAGTGGCCTACTAATGACGACCGTTGCTACGAGGCGCAACTGGAATCGTTAATGTCGTCGAGCCATGGGGTCGCCATAGGAAATGCTGCCGCTCGACTTTGCCAGGAATTTAATTCGACGCGAAGACAGCTCTTATCGATTATCGGTGACAGACGCGCGAAAAATATTCGCTCTCTTTTCCGGTAACAAAAAGAAAAGTACCTTTTCTATCGAAATCGATTTATAAATAATTCACTTTAGCGTTCGCCAAGTTTTTCATTCATAAGCTACGAGTTTTCAATATAGAGCTGTAAAATTCGAAGCTTGATTGTGTGTAAAAACAAAAAAAAAAAAAAACAAACAACAATTGTTTTACATTAAGCTTATCGTGTGTCTTATACCTGTGTGGTGTCTCTCGTATCAGTTTTCTCAGAATTATCGAGAAATCGCAGAGATAAGGGAAGCTATTCGATCATTTATCTCGAGCGCGCCAAAGTAACGCATTAAGTAGATAATTATCGAGTATTTTCAGAATTTTTTTATCTTTCAAACAACGCGACAACAATGGGCGCGTACATATCTCGAGCGTGCACGTGACTTTATTTTATTCTTTACGTTGTCGCAATGTGTGTACGACATTCGACGTTTTACGATGCAATAAACACGAAATCGTCTCTTGTCTTTCCCGTTTTATGTATGTATAATCTTGTCACACGGTGAAGATTATTTCTCAACTTTTACGCGATATAACTGACAGACACACACTTTTGATTGCCAGTAGAATCCTATCACATTCACACACACACACACACTCAAGAGGTGGAGTGTAATATTAGCTTCGGCGAACGTTTACACACACCGTTAGGAGGCCGCCTAAGCTAAATACGAGCAAACATAGGCCGTGCGTTGTAAGCGATTTGCGTACACGCTCGCTTAGGTGAAGCCACCCTGTATGCCGCGCAAACATCCCCAGATGTCCGCGGTCCACGTCTATTGCAACACTAATAAAACCATCAAACCGCGATTGCGGGCACTTATTGAATACGCTCCGTTTGCCGTCAATTATCAAGGAGATGACCGGGATACGATGTGGCAGTAAGACTGACTCGGACGACTTGCCGCATATTAGACACTCAAGCAGAATATTCGATTCGCGTTGAGAGATTCAGCTACAATTCTGGATGTGTTGGAGAGTTAGTGAAATTATTTATACTTCTCTTCTCTCTCTTCTGGCGAATATACATTTTTCTATCTTGAAAATCTTGAGAGCTCGCGATACTTTTCTCATATGTAATAAAAAATTTATTTTCATACGTGATCATTTAAAGAAAAAAAATCAGAAAAAAAAAGCAACGCGTTTAGGAAATATCTCGGCGGCGCAAGACGCGTCATTTATTTCTTCATTCGTTTCCTCGCGCATTTCTTCGCGTACATATTTTTTCGTGCGGAAGAATCTCGCGCTTCCACGGTGGCATGTAGGGAGAATTCCCGGTCGATCTTCTCTTGCGACATATGCGTGCCGACATTCTCCGCTCGTACAAATGCCGCACGCATTTATACGAACGATACGCGCTTAAACGTTCAGATATGAAATCATTTTGAAAAAAATCCTTTAAAGGATTAATCGTCGCGATTTCTCATATTTTCGCTTCGCACGCAAAATGTGTGACACACACGTTAGACACTTCGAGTATATTTGCAAGTTAAGTTTGCAAAAAAATTTCTATACTTAATACATTACACTGTGATTTAAATTATTACACACAATACGAGTGTATTATTGATACAACCTTTTTTTAAAAATTTTTTATTGCTATAAAATATCGTCTATTTTTATTTGTGTTTTTGCGAACACACACGCATTATTGAAAAACGTAAAGGATCGCGCGCGAGATTTTCTCGATCAGAATTTCTCTGATTTTGAGACGCCATTGTGAGCAGACCGTCGTGATGCGGCAATGCAACGATTCCGTCAACGCGTTCTCGTTTGCTGACGCGGATGTCGATCATAAATTACACGGCGCGTGAACACATCGAGCCGTCTTCGAAGTACGATTAAGAAAAGGTATTAGAGTAGCGGATGACACGATTCACCAAGATCGCGGATCTCGATAATTGTTTGAAGTCTATTAATTTTCAATAATACGCGCATAAAAACGCCAATAGATATCGGGACTGCGTATATATTTTTACGCGTTTAACATCGCAATTGCACAGACTGTTTGCGCGCGCGCGTGCACACATCTGAGATTAAAACAATTCTCGCATCAGAATAAAAGAATCTCTTTGTGAATTTTGGATATGACGCGATTACGCCAGGAGAGAGTCTGGAAAGAGATTGAAAACTGAACTCGCGCGACATCGCGCGTTAATTCGATTATCCGATGTGCCAGGCGCGCTTTTGCAATTTAAATGAAACGCGAGCGAAAGGGGCATTCTCGCGCTCTAAATTATGTCTTTATGTATAATCTAATATTCATTTTGTTTTACATAATCATGAAGTCATACGCTTCATATGTTCGCGCCGCGGTCACGTCAAGGGACCGCACACGATAGCGTTTCTCGCGCGTCAAGTATATATTTCTACCATCTACAGACACAGAGAGAGAGAGTGGTTTCTCCTTAACAGATGACATCTGGGACCTCCTTCTTCTCCTCCCCGCGTATAAACTGCGTATTAAATGTTCTTTTATTTATTTTGTTTAATTACGTTTTATATTCGTCGTAATTTTTTGCACTCCGTATTTATTTCCCGAGTTTATTTCGCGCGGGATGCAAGAGAGATATTTTCTCTCAAGTATCGCGCGAACATTTTTAAAAGTATTTTTCAGCGCGATATCTCGATCATTGTGTTAAGCGACAATTAAGCAAACATCGAGAGAATAACTCGCGTTTTGTGAGAACGCCGCCGGTATTCGTTGTGTGTTATCAATTATCGATTTTCCCTAATTCACATCGTGGGATATATATATTGCTTCCATTATACTTTTAATCCGCAATTCAGCGTTTCTCTCGTCTGATACGTACGTAGGTACGTTCTTCTCGTCAATGAACTTTGCGAGCTCTGACCCGTTTACACTAGCAAAAGAGTAATAATATTAATGTAAATCATATTTTACGCCATATCTCGACCGTAATTAAAAATAAGCACACGCACGCACGCGCGCACGCACACGTGTGTGTTTCATTGCGTTAGATAATGTGCCACTCGGGAAGTGGGAGGGAGGGGAGAGGGTGAAAATTATCTCGGTTCAACGTGAAAACAGATTTGAAAGCTCGCGATAATTCATTATAGTGAATAACACGCCATCCATTTATGTATAATGTAACAATGCGATAATAACAATATTAATTTATCCGCATGGTTTTCGTTCCTGTGATACGAATTACAGCGAAAACTCTACATCAAATGACATCGCGGAAGTGTTGATTTTTGCAGCGAACGCAAAAGAGCGAGTAAATAAATAAATTGTCAAATTACTTACAAGCGTTTGATAATAATTAACGAAAGAAAATAAAAACGGTAAAGTGTGAAGAAAACAAAAAAGCTTACTGTATACGAGTATGCGCGCTGCTGAGTTGTATCGGCGACACGTTTTTCCTCCTTTCTCGCGCGCGATCGAAAGGCCGCGCGCGACGGCGGCGCGCGTTCGTGCGAAATACGCGATCGCCCGTGTGCAGCGACTTCGTGAACCTTTCTCTCACCGAGAAACTCGTAATAGGATAAGTTTCTCAAGGTGTGCCTTTCCTAAACGGGTTTTCGAAAGTTTGAGACAACCGAGGCTTTAACGATCGCCCGTACCTGAATTTTCATCGTAAGCCGGAGCGCGCGCGATGCTCTCCGAGAAGAGAACTTTTGTCGCGCGCCCGCCCGCTCGCCCGCTCGTTCGCGTTTCCGAGATTCTCGCGGGAAGGATACGACGCAAGGCTCCGAGAACATATGAATTGCAGAAAGGGATACGTCAACTTTTTCCGCATATACGTCGCGCACTTAAACTTGTTTTTAACTCCTTTTCTCTCTTGAACGTTGTCGCAGCGAACTCGAAGATATGCATTGGTCGAAACTGCGCGCGGCTCGGCGCGGCGCGTTTTATGATTCTTGTAACAACTTTAGCGAAGAAGAAAGAATATTTCCTCTTCAAGTTTCACTGAGAATTATCTTTCTCAGACGGTGTTTCTTCTGCAATCGTGATGGAATACTTTTTCGCGCAATTATGTAAACGGAGTAAATTTGTCAAGTGTCGCTCTTGTGTTCTTTTTCGCAGGAAAATCGCCTTGGTTATCATACTCACTAGAGCGGGTCTGGATCTGGATCCGAACGCGCTGAAGAGATTAAGAATCACGGTGCCTAAGTTGGGTCTGATACCTTGGGTGGTAGAAGCCACGGTGGTGGCTGTGATGACGCAATATCTCTTAAATCTGCCGTGGATATGGGGTTTCCTCCTCGGTAGCATCGTCGCAGCCGTTTCGCCAGCCGTCGTGGTGCCTTGCCTGTTCAGGTTACGTGCCAAAGGTTACGGAGTTGCGAAGGTAAGACCCGCGTATATTCCGCGTTCTTTTGTTTGACGTTTGAATATTCACACGCGCGCGATGAGTATTCTGTCTCATTCGTGAGACATCGTAAAGTTTCCCTAAGAATCTAATTTTGCGGCGACACTTCCGTGTGCGGAGTGGAATGATAAAATAAATTCGCAATAGAATTAGACGTTAAACAGATGACAAATGGCGAGAGATTAAAGTCACGAGCTCTTTCTATTTCTCCTTAATAAGTAAAATTTGCTTAAACTGTAATATTTATACCACTCTGTAGCGTGTTATTCGTTCTTAAAATTCTTTGCAAAGTGTTTTACATGTAAAAGATAATTATTTTGTGATTAAAATTGATTTCTTTTGCATTTTAAATTAAGTTGTATTATTAGTTGTATTATTCTCTCGAAACTTAAAGTAGCAAACTTCATCTATACTTGAGAGAGATTGGCGGATAGTTTCAAATTTGAGAAGAAAATTATTACACATAGTTTACCTTGCGCTACGGCGATATTTTCCCGAACATTTTTCATGTTTATAAAATGCATCAGGTTTTTTATAAAAATTTTAATTCATATTGATGTGCGAGGTTTTATTTTTTAATTTCTTCTTTTAGTTTACGAGAGTTTGGGTCTTTCGGTATTTTGTTTCCATGTTTGCACACACTGTAAAACTGTAAAAGAAACAAACAAAATTTTCAAAAAATTAAATAAATAATAATATATTATAAATAATACGAAGCGTGAAGTGTGTAGACGGCGCGTGTCCGGTGTTCGCAGATGTACACGTATTTAGATTAATATTTAATCTCGTAATCGCTCAAATATAAATTGGATTACATATATAACGCGATTTGTGTTTTACATTAATAAAATATCACGGCAAAGAGAAAGAGAGGGAGGTTTATATATGCATCAACGTTTCGAGCGTTCTGTTTACGCGTCGCGATTCTTGACACGCGTTAACATTAGCGCTTTTGGAAGAGAGAGTTTCCATGTTAATGAGCGCGACACGTCAAGTAATTAAATTTCTTTCGCCTTGTTATACGAAGACGCGATATAATCGCCATGTAAACGATCTTGGCACGGGAATAGAATATCATTTCTCTCTCTCTCTCTCGTGAAATCGAATTCACGAGCTAAGCCCCAGTTTGCATTAAAAAAAAAAAAAATCATTCTTTGCTCAATTTTTTGCACTGCGCGAATTTCAAAAGAAAAACAAAATCGAAAGTCAGATTAAATCTGCTCTCTGAATTCATAGTTCTTGGTTTATTTAGTCGCAAGTTAATTACAACCACGTTGAAACGTAGTGTTATATGTAACAAATTTGCAATGTCGAAGAGTGAGGCAATTTTCGGTGTGAATACCGGGAGAGAGAAGAACCAAGGACCCTTCTCTCGCGGCTCTTGCGAACGAAGGAACGAAAAAGAGAAGGTAGCGTACTTAAATAATTCAGTTTAGGAAATGGAGTGGAAGAAGTTGCTTGACGGAGTACAAAGACTAGTTGCGGAAGATGCGATATTCATGAGTCGAAAGATCTAGACAATACTTCTTCATTTGGCTAAGTATGTGTGTGTGTGTGTGATATTGTATCTGTAACGTCGGACGAAAGAGAAAACGTCGTGATATTTTCTGTATAAGTACGCGCGAGGAATTTCTCATCTCTTTTCGACGTTCGGCTGTTTGCAAAGCAAAAAAAAAAAAAAAAAAAACGCCGCGGGCGAGGTTAAATCGATACTCGTGGGAAAGTCGACA